GGTGGTTTAAGCCGTTCAAGAATTGTTATTCTTTATATAGTGTGAAAGTGAGTGGTGAGTCTGTGAGCGCTGATGTGAAGGCAGCTGAAACAGTTTTTGAAATTCTAGATAAGTTGATTGTGGAGGAAAACTCCTTACCAGAGCAAATATTCAATATGTTAAAACATGCCTGTTCTGGAAATGGATGCCTGAAAGGACTTTCATCCATTAGGAGGCCAAGTCAATGCCAAATTTTAAGGCATTTAAGGGCTGAATAACAGTTTTGTTCAGGGGCAATGCTGCAGGCTACAAATTGAAACCCTTTGTGATCTGGCACAGTGAGAAATCCTAGGCCTTCAAGCATATTAATAAGCACACACTGCCAGTGTACTACAGGATCAATAAGAAGCCATAGATGACCCGGCTTCTCCTCCAAGGTGTCCTCCTGAATTGCTATGCCAGTGAAATGGAGAAGTACTGTTTGGAGAATAACATATCTTTCAAGATTTTGGTCATTGTTCATAATGCTCCTAGACATCCTCATTTTATTGGTGGTCTTCGTTCCAATATGAAAGTGGTGTTTCTCCCTCCAAATACCACCTCTTTGATTTAATCAATGAATTAAGAAGTTATAGTAACTTTTGAGGTCTACTACCTGATGAGGACCTTTGCCCAGCCTATTGTTGCAACTGAGGAAGACACTGAGAAGAGTTGATGCAATTCTGGGAGGATTACAACACCTATGACTGCATCAAGAACCTCGCTGTGGCTTGGGGTGATGTCACCAAGGAATGTATGAATGGTGTCTGGAAGAAGACACTCAAGATGTTTTTTCATGACTTCAAAGGATTTACCAAGGATGAGGAGGTTGCAAAAGTCAACATACACTTACTTTTAAAGTAATAATTGATAGGTAAGGACTAACTCTTTCCATTTTAATTGTTTTCTGACTGTCTTGTAGTTCTTTTGTTTCTTTCTTCCTCTCTTGGTGTCTTCCTTTGTGATTTGTTGATTTTTTTTAGTGGTATGCTTTGATTCCTTTGTTTTTATCTTTTATGTATCTACTACAGGTTTTTTCTTTGTGGTTACCATGAGATTTGTATAAATCATCTTATATTTGTAACAGTCTATTTTGAGCTGATAACAAGTTAACTTTAATCGCATATAAAAACTCCACACTTTTACATCAGCCCCCGACACATTTTATGCTACTCATGTTACTCTGTATGTCTTTTTAAATTATCTATTAACAAATTAGTGCTACTATAGTTATTTTTAATAACTTTGTCTTTGAACTTTTATACTAGAGTTAAAATTGATTTACACACCACCATTACAGTATTAGAGTATTCTGAATTTGACTATATGTTTATCTTTATCAGTAAGATTTTTACTTTCATATGTTTCTATTTTGTTAGTTAGCATTCTTTTGTTTCAACTTGTAGAAGTCCCTGTAGCACTTCTTGTAAGGTAAGTCTTGTGGTGAAGAACTCCCTCAGCTTTTGTTTGTCTGGGAGTATCTTTACCTCTCCTTCATTTCTGGAAGCCAGTTTTGCTGGGCATAGTATTCTTGATTGGCATATTTTTCTTTCAGCACTGGAGGTTTCTGTTGAAAAATCTGCTGATAGCCTTATGGGGATTTCCTTGTATGTAACAAGTCACTTTTCCCTTGCTGCATTCAAATTTCTCTTTTTGTCTTTGAATTTTGAGCATTTGACTATAATGTTTCTTGGGGTAATCTTCTATCATTGATCTTGCTTGGGGTCCTTTGAGTTTTTTGAATATGGATGTCCATGTTCTTTTCAAGATTTGGGGAATTTTCAGCCATTATTTCTTTAAATAAGCTTTCTGCTCTTCTCTTTCTCTCTCCTCCTTCTAGGACTCTCATAATGAATCTATTTCTTTGCTTGGTGATATCCCATAGGTCCCATATGCTTTTCTTTTCTTTTTCTTTTTGTTTCTCTAAATGGCTAATTTCAAATGACCTGTCTTCAAGGTCATTGATTCCTTCTTCTGAATGATTGAGTCTGCTATTGAGACTCTCTATGGAATTCTTCAGTTTAGTTATTGTATTCTTCAGCTCCAGAATTTCCGTTTTGTTCTTTTTTATGGTTTCTTTTTCAATACTCTCTTTTGGTTGATATATTGTTTTCCTGATAGTTTTTAGTTGCCTATGTGTTCTCTTGTAGCTCACTGAGCTTCTTTAAGATGTTTATTTTGAATTCTTTTCAGGCAATCATAGTAAGCCATTTCTTTAGGGTCAGTTACAGGAGATTTAGTTTGTTCCTTTGATTGTGTTATATTTCCTTGCTTCTTCATATTCCTCATAGCCTTGTGTTGGTATCTATGCATCTGAAGAAGAATTCACCATTTCTAGTCTTTACAGACTGGTTTTGGCAGGGAAAGATATTCACCAACCAGCCTGGCTAGAGATTCTTGGAGTGTCTCAAACATTTTCTGTGGATGTATACTCTCTAGTAGTCTTCCCCCACTTTCTAGGGGGGAAGTTTCAGGGTTATGCATCTTTCAATTTCATAGAGTCTTGTTGGCTGCTGTAAGCTGGCTTCCCTCTTCCCTAGAGTAGTGCTCTGATAGGCTGGTATATTGGATACACACTTCAGTCCTCCCCCTCTATCCTGTGGGAGAAGTCTCAAGATTGTGCTTCTCCTGATCTCACAGAGCCATGCAGGCTACCATAAACCTCCTCCTTCTCCTTTTCCCCAGGTTAGTGTCCTGAAATGCTGAGTCCTTGGGTGCAAGCTCCACTTCTCTCTCCCCCTTCTGAAGGAGGTTCTGGATTGTGTGTCTTCTCCCTCTCCCAGAGTCATGCCAGCTGTTGAGACCCCCTGCTTCTTTTCCCTAGGGCAGTATGCTGAATGTATACTGTATGTATGCACTGAAATGGTAGGAGGCTGGGTGCAAGCTCTACTTCTCTCTCTTCTGAAAGGTAAGTCTCAGAGTTGTGCACTTTCTCTCAATCCAGTAGAGCTGTGCAGACTGCTGAGAGCTCCTGCCCCTTTTCTTTGTTTTCAGCTGCTCCTAGGCATCCTAACTATGCTGGTTGTGTCAGTGCTCTGAGTGAGAGGAGACAGAAGTAGGTGTTTTGGGCAGCACCCTGAAAGGTTAGGACTGTTGGATGTGTGCTTCACTCATTCTTTGTCCCCAGGGGAGAAATTGTGGGCCGAGTGGATTTCTCTAGGTGCTGAGCTGTTTCAGCTGAAGCGAGGGATTGACACGAGCACAGTGGAACTTCTCTTATTACCCATTTCAAAGAGGTTTCTCTCAGTTTGGTGCTTACTTTGGGTGTTGCAAATTCTAAACTGGATTCTGGAGGTCTCATAAAGGTATTTTGGCCAAAATAACACTGTTTTATTGGTATTTGTGTTGAGGGATGAGGGCTGGGACTTCATCCACTACCTTGCTGATGTCAATTCAGAGTTTATTTTACTGAAAATTAAATTTCCTTAGAAGTTATAGGACAATTCAGGTCACCTATTTCACCTTGTGTGAGTTTTGGTAGTTTGTGCTTTTTGAGAAATTGGTCCATTTCATCTAAGTCATTGAAATTATGCATGTACAGTGGTAATAAGGTTGATTTTTAGTTTATTAGTATGCCAAATATTTTAAAATTTCTCAAATTTCTATGCTTGTGTTTATTTCTCAGTGAATACGTTTTTACTTGTCTAGTTTATTCTTGACCTTGGACTTGTGTAGGGCCCTTTCACTGAGGGAGTTCTGCTATTTTGTCCGGATCCAAGTTTTTAGTGTGTTCCCTCCCTCTAAATCAAGGGAGCTTATATTTCCTTTCTCTAGACCTATAGAAGGAAAAGTAATAACCTGTCAGTTAAACAAGAGAAGACATACTTCTCTAGGTTGAAAAGAATTTTGACACAGGAACATCATAATGGTCAGCAAACGTAGGCCCTGACACGTGGTAGCCTCGGCAGACTGAAAGTGTGTCACTTCGAATTGCCCTTTTCCTGTGATTGTAGCACTCGGTGACTCATCTCAGATCTACTGTATCAGAAAGTCAGGAAAGGGTGGGATCCAGGGAAACTTTATGCTTAATAAATTGATTTTAACGCACAGCTGGATTGAACACCACTGGTGAAAGCAACATGCCTGCCTAGAGAGAGAGCTTTATTTTGTTCCTGGAAATAGGATTTGGAATCCGGTATAGACTCGTGCTACCAAGCTAGAAAAGAAGTTACTTAATTTTACTTAGTTTCGATTTTCCTATTATTAAATGGTTAATGAAGAAACCACTACTTGGTTTGAAAACAGAGTTATTCTTTTCTACCATGAAGTTTCTTCAAGTAACAAAAATGTATTTTATTTACTCCTTTGTTGCAGTGCAGCTTGGAAAAGAAAACACAAATCATATCTACATCTAAACACTCCATCTAAGACACTGTGGGTCTCACCTGGTCTCCTGTGAAGTTACAGTTCAAGTGAAGAAATACTGCTTAGCCACATGTACTCAACTGTGGAAGGAAGCATTCTCCGTGTCATGAGAGGGAAGGGGGTTCAATGGAGTGAAATGTCCCAACGCAATCTGGAAAAGCAGATTTATTAATATGGATTTAATGGCATTAGCTGCTTCCCTGCTTTTCTCTCATGATGCGGTATTTTGAAACACTGCATAATATTTTCTCAATCCTAACATATACAATCGAATCCATATGTCCCTTACAGATGTAAGCAACCTAAGGCAGATGCACAGAACTTTGACCAATGTTTCTATAAAGCAAGGAGCTGCAAACTATGGCTTGTGGGTACCATCTGTTTTTGAAAATAAAGTTATATTGCAGCACATCTATGCCCATCCATTTATGTTTTGTCTATGACTGCTTTTGCAGTCAACATAGCAGAGTTGAGCAGCCGAGACAGACTATATGGCCCATAAGACGATGAATAGTTACTATCTGGTCTTTTATAGAAACTCAGGCAACTATTGCTATGAAGCTAAAACCTTATTTTTCGGTGCAAACTGAAAAAAAACCCCATCAGAAATAAAAAAGCCTAGTGAAGCGTATTTTATTTCCATATTTTAATTTATTATTAAGTAAACAATTCTTAATTGCTTTAAGAAACACCAACGATTTACCCAGGACTTTTGGCAACTAGGATGAAGTCTACATATGCTGTGTAGTACCAAGAGCATTATTTTATTCGTCAAAAAAATAGTCGAAAAGATCCATATTCTCTGGGGAAAATCAGTAAGCTTTCAAGTACGACTGTTGAGAACTGGGAAAGATGGCCTAAGCTTTAGGATTATAAACAATCTAATAATTAAGTAGTTCAGTTTCCTAACGCATTATCCGTCATCATTCAAAGTCAATCTTTGTGAATTATACATTACTACAAATACAAAACGCGTAATTATCGTGTTACAATGTTTAGTCCAGTGTCAATTATTTAAAGTTCTAAAGTATCCCATTAAAGTTATAATCTGGTGAATTTAGCAAAGAGAGAAAGTTTCCTTATATAGCCCATTTGTTTATGACCCAACTCCTACTCATGCTAATGGTTTCTTCCATCTTCCTATGGAAATTCTGTAGAGATTCTAGATCGCTATATAAGATGATTGGCTTTAGCTTGGAACCCATCAGTGCAGATTGTCCATTCCCAGTGCTCAGGAATCACACCACTGCTCAGACTGTACAGTCTTGGTACAATGGAAAATTATACAGCATCTTCACTAAGCAGAAGCTAGGATGGTTCTTCCTGACATTGGACTCCATTGTACACTTGACCAAACTGATGCTCAACTATGTTCCAAGACTTTTACCTAAGGCTTTGTTCTTTATCCATTTGTCTACCAGTGGTCATCTGGAAGAATAAGCTTCTCCTGAGAGGAATCAGCTCATGATAGCTCCTATGTTGGTACAGAGGTAAAATCCTTGTAACACAATTAACAATATTGTTAGAAGGTGGACATGACTTCAATTATAGCACCACATGTCTTTGCAAGTTTTTTGTGTTATAAAAATTCAAGACCTAATATTAAGTGTAGTGACATTTTTCCAAATTCTACAAGTTTGAGTTATGCCTTGGGTAAGAGTGACCAGGAGAGCTCTATTCTTTAGGTCTTTAGCTTATGACACATCTCCTTCTTGGTTGTGCCATCCTCTTCTGGAGATTCTGTATCTCATTATGAAGTTGTCTGCTCTCATTTTGGAATCCTTCGTTTAGTAGTCGGGCCTGTTCCTACAAAGAGACAAATGGAGATAGAATAAAGTGTAGCATTAAGTAAATCTCTAATTTTATCTAGTTTCCACATTCATAGATTTTTTTAGTATTGAATTTCTTCTTGAAATTTATTCTATCCCTAGTTTTCATTGTACTTTCTCTTGGGCAGCCTAGCTCTATGATTACTTTTCCTAAATCTCTTTTAGCTAAGAGAAATTTTTGGCTTAGACCTCCTGATATATTGATGAACCTAATTACTGGTCTTGATCTTTTCTCCCATTAATTTTATACAAACTTTGTGAGCAAGCTTAATCATATGTTTGGTTCCAAATCTTATCTATGCATTAAAAACCTTTTATACACACATACACACATACATACATAATACAGAAATAAAGAATTCTCAAAATCTAATGGTTATGTGAGTCTTAGATAAGGGAATTTGATCTAAGTCTCCACAGCTTGGTGGCAGGTGTAGCAGAATATAGAGAAGGAAATCAGGGCCACAGACTGACATATGGAATTTCTGCACATAATTCCCAACTCAACACAAACTGGGAGCAGGGCCTAGAAAACAGGTAGGAGTGACAGACTGTCACGTAGATGTGAGAGTCAAGGCTTCCTTCTGATCACAAAGGTTCTCTTAGAGCTAAAGTAATACCAGGTGTCACGTAAAAGCAAAATCACTGTGGATCCCACTAAGTGGTGAAGACAGTTCAGACATCTTACCAAGCTGCGTAGCTCTATAAAAGTTATTTGATCTTTTCTGAACCTCTGTTTCTTCTCTTAAGTGATAGGGACATAGCAGTTCTTGCTTCAGGTAGTAGTAAGCAAGAGATACAGCTAAGACATTTTTATAATGCCAAGCAGACAATAGCTACCATTGATTGAAGGATACACTGATAAAGGACTGGATGTGACAAAGCTGCAAATAAAATCTTCTAATAACCAGACATAGGCAGGGGACAGGCCAGGCAGGCAGACAGAATTGAAAAGTACAAATGGCCAGCAAAGTCCTTCTTCTGGGCTTCATGTTCCCACCGCCACTCTAAGATGTGATCAGGGAGGGTGGAGGGAAACCCAGAAACCTAAAGGCGATATAATCAAATACCTCAAGTTTAAGAGCGAGAGTCCTCTCCTGCTCTGCCAGCAGCTGGGCCCTATCTCTCTCCATCTTCTCAGTCAATTGTTTCACGTGTTCCTGATAACTCTTTTCTTTCTGTTCCATCATCTGCTGATTCTTCTTTTGCATTTCCTCCAACATTTTTGCCGCAGCCTGTGCAGATTCAGCTTTCACACGTTCCACTGTCAAGAGGAAAAGGAAGAAGAAGAATTTATGTGGGTGACCATGTTGCTTCTTTCTTCCTTGTACACTCACCTGTCATTGCTGCTACTGACTGTATATGCCCTACTCAGAAATGACTTCTGCAAGGGAGAGGCATCTTTGCTCATCTTGCTGTAGTTTAAAGATCCCAGCCAAATTATTAAAACTTTTAAGAACTTTTGAGGTTATCTAGTCTCTTGACCCACTCCTCACCTTCAATCTCCTTTTCCTTTTCTGTGAGAGTCTGGTCTGTCTGTAGAATTGCATCAATAATAGACTCCTTGGACCTCAAGTATGTCTGAAGAGTCTCTTCAGCCTAGGACCCAGAAAAGAGAGAGTTAGTAACAGGAAATGACTGTGGGCACTTATTCCTATTTGCCCACCATCTTTTCCTCTAGAAATTGCTCCTTTTGGCCCTGGTGTGCCTGGTGGTCAAGATTTCCTGTCACAGGGGTGGAAACATGCTCCAGAATGGCCAATCATGGCACCCTACTAAGGAGAATCCTTTATAAGAGATTGATATAGATATAGATAAAGATTCTTTGTTCTTTAGACCGAGGGCCCTAATTTTGGAGCTGTTGGTGCTGTGGTTCCCTATGGGGTGAGCTTGTTGGCAAATGAAGCCATTAGGGAGAAAGCAGATCAGAGAAAAGGAGGTGGAGGGACAGAAGTGTGGGGTTGAGGGGAGCAACAGAGAGACAGATGATTACATTATTTGAAATCTTGGATCTAGTGCTGCTTAAAGCCAGTTTGAAGCCTAAACTGATGAATTACCATTTTTGTTTAAGTGACCATCATTGAGTTTCTGTCCCTTACAACATGAAGATCCAGCTGTAATAGTGGATTACAGTAACAACCTGGTGATTAATCTGAGAATCCAATTTATAACTCAATTTTTAATAGAATGCACTCTCTTGGATGGGCACATAGGATATATCTGGTATAACAGGCTCCCTGTATATGTTTATTGAATGAAAGCATGAATGCTGTTAGCCCTGTAATTGCACACAGATCACACTGGTGTTTCAGGGAGGCATGTCAACAGCTTCCAAGAATCAACCAATAAATCTTGATTACCTGTATTCCCTTCCTGGGTTCCTGAAGGTACTTTTCCTTCAGCTCTTGTGTCTTCTGGATGAGGAGACGATACCCTCCTGGTTTGGAATAAATCCCCTGCTTCACGTCCTCTTCTAGAGGACTGAAAAGATCCCTAAGTAAAGCTGAGCAACGATCTGATGATGCTTTCATGTTCTGTTTACAGAAGTCATCCCGCTTTTTTTCTAGCTGGTTCTTTAATGTAAAAATAGGAAGTGAAAAGAATAGGGAAAAGATGTTAGTTTGACCTCAGAATTTCTGGAAAGGCTCCTCCAAAAAACGCATCTATGACCCCTAGGCAAACTTACAGGCACCTCAGCAGGACCATACCCTTCTTCCTGATCCTGACTTTCTACTGAAGTCCCTTTCTCCTTGGAGATGAAGTTCAGAGCAGAGATTACTAGCTTTATGCCACACCTTTGGAGATAAACTTCTGCTTTGCTAATTGGACCAATGACTGCCTATGGAATAAAGGTGGCTCAGCCTAAGCCTGCTTGAGATAACTAAGACTACAATTTTCTTTGCTTTCGGCTAGAATATCAAATCAATCTGATAATAGTGGGCATGTAATTTGGTTAGAAGCTCTGATTGTTACTTATATCCATTTCATTAAATTATAGGGAAGATGATTAGTTTATTCATGAGACAAAAAATGTTTTAAAACTTTGTTATGATAAAATTGGTTCTTTTTATTATGATACTAACACAGCGGTTGTCACCATTTTAATGTCTAGTAAGAATTGCTTCTCTAAAAATAAATGTCCATTTCATTTTCTCATAATACTTTGCCTTTGGAGACCCTATCCATATAAACTTGAGAAAAAAATTACCGCCAATTCCTTTTGAAATAAATGGTCTTCATCTTTGAAAGAACTCTTGATGAAGATTTCAATGGCCTCTTTCTCACTGGCCCTGTGCAGGTCCAGCAGCTCCTGGAGGGTTTCCGTGGGCAGCTTCACCTTCTGGGTCATCTGCTGATCGTAGTGGGCAATGGCCTTTTGCACTGCAGCCGCATTCTCAATCTGGGCCAAGGCCAGGACTGCGTTCTCCATGCAGGGCAGATCCCCACTGCTGATGGCATCGAGATAGGTCAGCACCAGGTTCTCTAGACCTACAAATGGAAAACAAATGATGATGTTTGTTGTAGGTGGGGTGAGAAAATGTTCTATTGTGTGTAATTCTGATGATGTCTATTAACACTCATTTGCCTGACAGCACCAGTGTCCTCAGCATCACCCAGAAGCTTAATAGAAATGCAGACTCTCAGCCTCTCCCCCAGATCCAATTGAATTAGCTCTTTCCTTTTGACAAGATCCTCGGGTGATATGTATGCACATCAAAGGTTGAGAACCTCTGTTCTAGATAGCAGAGGCCTGTGTTTATTGAATATATCCACTTTATCCCCAAGCACCATTGGGACGGGAACTGTACCTCCTTCATTTATGTCTATATGATTAGCCCTGGTCCGTGGTAAGCATTTGACCAATATTTGTGGAGCAATTCAAAAGGAGTCTCCCATTTTGTTTATTCTAGCAGAGCATTGTCCAAGAGAACTTTCTGTGATGATGGAAGTGTTGCATATGTACTGTCTAGTATGGTAGCCACTAACCACATGTAGGTATGAGCCTTGAAATATAGCTGTGTGATCAGAATTTTAAGTTTTCTTTAATTAATTTACACTTCCATTTAGATAGCCACAATTTCCTGTTGGCTACCGTATTGCAGGTCCAGTTCACTAGGGCAATTTTAAGCAATAGAGCTTTTTTCTTTTGCCTTTCCTATCTTTTCTCACCCAAGAAATTTGACTAATAACGTCTATTAGACACGTTGTCGTCATCTAGAATTTAACACGATAATAGCAGTAGATTTGCATTTTTCAGAGCTGAAACTAGATAGACGTTATTCTACCTTCCTTTATTCTTAGCCATGAGAGTAAAGACTGGGAAGAGGACTCACGGGATCCGTTGACCTTGATGCCTCCTGAAAGAGTTTTTGTTTTGGAATTGCTGAAGATGTAGGAACAGAAGGCTGCAGCTTGTTGCACAAATTCGGAGTCCAGCTCATCATCATGCAGTGTCTCAAGCTGGCCTAGCTTCTTCCGGTGAGTGGGCCGATCAAAGATAAAGCATTTCTTCTTTGGGAAGAACTTCCGGATACAGAGTCGGGGCAGATTAAAATTTTTATCTTTTTGACTGGTACCTGGAGGAAGATAAAAAAGGACTTTGCCTAATATAGGGGCTTGCAAACTTTGTAAACGGCCAAATAGTAAACATTTTAGGCTTTGCAGGCCAGCTCTCTTTTCCAAGTACTCGGTTCTGCTATTGTAGCATGAAAGAAGACAATAGACAATCTATAAACACATGGGCATAGCATTATTCCAATAAAACATTATTTAGAAAGACAGCTGGCAGGCTGGATTGTCCATCATTTGCCCATGGGCTATAGTTTACCAACTCCTGGACCTGTCCACTCTTCATGTTTTAATCTATTTTTTTTTCAAGTAAATGCCCATTCTACTCCATATTCTTTGGCTAATTTTAGCATCACAAGCCCTAAGCAGGGAGTTAAAATCAATCTGATCATAGCCCAGGGAAAGGTGAAAGGAAAAGAAACTTCTTAGAACAGGGAGAAGATAACTTAAAATCAAATCTGTTAATTCAGATATTAAGAAAGCATTAATTCTTCGTAATAGCCAACTGAGAAGAAATAGAAAACTATAAATATGAGAAAACTGTAAATAGAAAACGAAAAAGTGATAGTTTCTGTGCTTTGTCATTCCCATTTATCAATTCTAAGTCCTCTTTACCTTGCTTAAGCTTGAGTGAATTCTCCAGGTACTCGTCTGCTGTGATGGGTTCTCCATCTGCTTTCAAGTCTAGGGAGAAATCTCTCAGCGTCCACACAAAGTCTGGAAAGAAGCTCACAAAGTCACCTGAATCCTCACCCACATTATTATCAGATGTGGATTTTGCCCTGATTCGATCTGTCAGCTCTGTCACGTAGCTGAGTAACGGACTAAGGAAAACTGGCAGAAAAGAACAGTGTGCCCCATCCCCTGTTAGTTCCACACTTTCCAAAACCTTCATTTCATCTGTTCTTAACCCAGGTCTCAATTCTTCATTAGCACATGGGATCTTTCCCATGCCCTTGAATTATTTTTTGTTTTCTCTTTTTGTGCTTGATTCACCAGGATTCAGTCAGGCAGCTGGCTTTTTAAAAGCAGTTCTCCCTCTGATTTGGTGCTGTTCTGGACCACTAAAAGGATACTGCAGTTGGTCCATGGCCTGCTGGTTGATGGTTCCCATGCTGTTGTACACGAAGGTGCTGCTCAGGAGGACTGCCAGGGCAAAGATCCAGGAGTCATTCTGGTTGTCACCCTGGAAGTCAGAACACATTTGGGCCTGGAGTATGTTTCATTCTCATGGCACTTTCCAGATCAGTAGTAGTAAAAGTATGTTCATTTAATTAGAATGTTTTTTAAAAATAATGACCCAAAAGAGGAACCCTAATCTAAATGAAAATGATCATTAGTAAAGGACTCGGACTTTGAATAGTTTTCCGATTGGTATTTTTGGTTTACATTGATTTTTACTAGGCCCTCTTATGATCATTGATAGATAATTGCAAAAAAATAGTCAAGGTTGGTGGGCAGTCTAAGACCTTAAATATAATTTAATGTTAAAATTTTCTCTTATTTTTCATAGCAAAATTTTGGCTTATCTAAGAGTAATAATACTTGTATTAATAATAATTAATTAATAATTGTAATTAATAATAGCTTTTTTTTTTTGATGAGGAAGACTGTCTTTGAGCTAACATCTCTGCCAGTCTCCCTCTACTTTTGTGTATGGGATGTCGCCACAGCATGGCTTGAAGGGCGATGTATAGGTCTGTGTCAGAGATCGGAACCTGCAAACCTGGGACTGCCAAGGCAGAGCACGCAAACTTAACCACTACGCAACCAGGCTGGCCCCCTTGTAGCTATTTTATTGAGCAATTATTATGCACCCAATACTTCCTATTACTTATCTTATTAAATATTTAAAACAATTCTATGGGGTGAATATAGATCTATTACATCCATTTCAGAGATCAGAAAGCTGACGTTAAAGAGGTCAAATAATTTGCAAAGGCCACTGAGTTAGGGACAGAGTTCAAATTTAAACACAAAGGTATGGAGCTTCAAAACCTAAATCTTTAACTAGAGTTCTGTGCAGGCTAAGACTCGTGATATTGATTTTATTTGTACTACATTTTGCATCTGGATTAACTGGCTTAGCTTATAGCTGTTCTTAATAATTAGAATGATGTCTTCTGACCACTATGCTCTTCTGCTAGGATTCTGCCTTATGAATATTTTCCTCACCCCTGGTTGCTAAACTTAGCCTCAGGACATGTAAACAGAAATGAAAATATATATCATGGTTAAGTACAGGCTCTTATTTACAGAAACATTAAATAGTGTAGAAAATATTCAGAGATGAGGGGCTTATTAAAAAATTGAATCCTCAATCTTTACCTTCTCTACATCTCCCAGACCCTCAGTGTCAAGCAGAACTAAGACATGGTTTGGCTTCTTGGGATGAGGCACACACCACATCCAGATTCCTTTGGTGTGAGACTGCACTGTGGAGCCCAGAGAGAAGCCTGCAAAGGGCAGTGGAGACAAGACAGGGTGGAGTTTTAATAGCAGATGGATCTGGAAGTTGAGATAAAAGTTAACATAATAAATAGTTAACATAAGTTAGGAGAGAGAACTGAAACCTCAACCAATATTAAATCTTACTTACAATCAGAGAAATAGAAAAATCAGCCTATCTGATACTTGAAAAAATTCAATACTTTTTCATGATAAAAACCATCAACAAACTAGAAATAGAAGGAAATTACCTTAACAACATAACTATCAAAAACACAGAAAATAACAAGTGTTGGCAAGGATGTGGAGAAATTAGAAACCTTGTGCATTTCTGATGGAAATGTAAAATGATACAGTTGCTATGGGAAAATGGTATGGCAGTTTCTAAAAAAATTAAACATAGCATTACCATATGATCCAGCAATTCCACCTCTTGGGTATATACCCCAAAGAAGTGACAGCAGAGACTTGAACAGATATTTGTACACCCATGTTCTTAACAACATTATTCATAATAGCCAAAAGGTGGCAGCAACCCAAGTGTCTATCAATGGGTGAGTGAATAAACAAATTGGTATACACATACAATTATTCAGACTTACAAATGAAAGGCATTTTGACACATACTACAACATTGATGAACCTTGAAGACATTAAGGTTAGTGAAACAAGCCAATCACAAAAGGACAAATAATGTATGGTTCCTCTTATATGAGAGTCCTGGAGTAGTCAAATTCATTGAGACAGAATGTAGAATGGTGGTTGCCAGGGGCTGGGGAGATGGAAGAATGGGGAGTTATTGTTTAATAGGCCCAGAGTTTCTGTTGGGCAAGATGAAAACTTCTGGTGATGGAAGTGGTGATGGTTGCACAACAATGTGAATTTACTTAATGCTATAGAACTGTACACTTAAAAATGGTTACAGTGGTAAATTTTGTGTTATGTATATTTTACAACAGTAAAAAAAAAAGAAGAGCCAATACAGATTTAAACATTTTTTTAAATCTTAAAGATCAGTGGAAACTTGCTGTTACTGCACGAACATTTTAGTAAATATCTTGTAGTTTATTATTATGTACATTAATTATTTTTATTACTGCCTTATTTCTTCTAGGAAAGGAACAATTCATGCTTATACAAGAGGAAACTAAGGCAAAGTAGGAAGAGAGAGAAGCTGACTCTTTCAGGTCATAGTGAAGATAAGAGCATAACTGGATTGAAAGTTAGCTTTCAATATTTCTCCTCATCTCCAACTTTCTCTCCTCACATCACTGTACTTGATGTTGGCATTGTATGTGGACAGAAGGGACTCGGCAGAGCTCTGCTGGTGCCACTCACCCTTTCTCTTCCCAGCCAGCTTGTTCATCAGGTAGGATTTGCCTGTGCGGTAGAGGCCCACGATAGCCACCACCACAACAGGCTGTGTAATGGCAGACAGGATCTTCAAAGCTTCCGGATTAGCCACTAGTTGCCCTTTAGTGTTCTCGATGAGGCACACTGGGCCTGGCATGTGGACCTCTGGGGCCATGTTCAGAGTGTTCCTATGTCTGCAAGGGAAGAGATGGGATGACAGAATTTCCGGTCTAAGTACGTCAAGAACTTTCACCAGTTTACTCTTCATTCAGAAAATGGAGTCATAAAATTCCCCAACGTAGCCAAAAGTTTTGTGTGCATTCGTGAGATAGATGAGGGGAGGCATCATTTTAGAAAGTTACTAAATTATTAACAGAGTAGTCCATTGAAAAAAATGTTGGTATGACAGTGACTTATCAACATTCAACCACTTTCACAATCAAGATTTTTTATTTAATTTAGCATGGAAAACTTTCCTTTTGGATTCTCTTTAAAAAATTTACACTAGATATTAAACAGAATAGAATAGGATTTAAAGAAATTTATTTTACATTTTGGCTATATGTTAGAAATCCAATATTGATTTATTTATTCATTAATTCTTAAAATCAATAAAGACTTACATGAATAAATGTTTCAATGTTTGGTGTATGCCCTTTGGAAAATTTCCAGATATTTTAAATGTGTGTGTGTGTGTTTCTGCTATTTATGCTCTTTTCACTGGAATGAGGGTCCACAGAACTCCTCACACTGCCATTCTGGAAGTGGAACCAGTATAACTTACTCTTGCAAATTTTATAAAACTATATGGCTATATGAAACATATGACTAGGGACCCTTACAGAGTTTTGGAATGGGCTCATGCAAGCAGCCCTGAAGCTTAATCTTCACTAGTTTCACAGTCAATTAGGCTCCAACTAAGTGGGGGGGGGGGGGGGGTGGGTATGACTGCACACCTGCAAATACTGAATGTTGCTAAAAATCATGTGTGTTTGTTTGTGTGTGTGTAAGGGAACAAAAGACTAGGAAATAAGCATGAAGAGATCAGGAGGCAGATCAGGAGAGCTAGAGAGGAAGTTGTTCAAAGAAAATATCTATAATTTCCAGCTCTACAATTCTAGGTTTTCTGGGATGGGGGAGAGGGAGGGGGAGGGAGAGGGAGACAGGGAGGAGGAGCTGAAATGAAAGAGGAGAGCTGTCAGACAAGTGATGAATGAAGCTAATTCTATGCTAAGGAATTCAGGGGAGAAGTTTTCAGAAGGCAGGATCAAAACTGCTTGAGAGCCCAGAGAGGTCAAGGTAAACAAAGATGTTGCCTTTAGTGATAAAGAGGAAATTTTTAGTGAGATGCTGGGGCCCAATTGTCTTTAACAGTGTGAGATGGCTGTTTACACTGCATCTCATGTAGTATTCTTTTCTTCTCATGAAAATCATACACGTGGCCCTTTCAATTTCTTAGCTGCAGTTGGATCAGTATTGAGCAAGTTCCTTCAAAGCCAACGATAATTTAATTGTGTCCCCAGTCAACACAGACAGTATCAACACAGAAAAAGACAATCCTAATGCATTTCCAGCTCTCAGTTTAGCCCCATGTCTGCTGGTGCCTAATTCAACACAAGCACAATAGTGACATCTAGGGACGTGCTGCCATCTGATAGTGCCGGGATTTCATCTGCCCTCGTGTTCCACATCAGGCTCAGCTGCAGCTCATCTTGATGCTGGTCATTTTTTAGAAAACTAACTGACCCTTATAAACCCCTCCCCACCCCTGCCTCGAGCTTATCATGGGCTCCATTTCCCAGAGCAGAGCTCCTTTAGAGCTCCAGAGAAAGCTGCTTTGGTGAGAAAATAGAGTTCTTACCTGTTTTTCTCCTCAGTTTCTGTGGAGCAGTTACTTCTCCGTGTCTCACTGGATCGCTGGACTTATATTTCAACCGTCCAATGTTGTGGGGCTTTCCGGATTTCCTTTGGAGGCCAGACACTTAGAAGAAAGGAAACTTCTGTAATGGGTTTAGGAGAATATGAAACTGAAAGCACTGAGTACAGACCAGTGATTCAACAGAAAGAATTTCCGAAATTTGTGCTAGTAGGAGGGTACGTGAGTTTCACATGATTTCTCAACTAGAATCTTTATACGTATTTTTTGAAAGAGATCTTAGAGGTCATTTGCTGTTTTAAAAAGTGTCCATTAGATGTTTAAACATAGTAGAATGTATCTTAGGACTAGGGGTCAGTTTGAGAAGCCTAGGATGAGGAAGCATCATATTAATTTTTAGATCTAATTTCCTTTAATAATGGTCACTCTCAGAGTGGATCTGGTTCCTTATTTATATGTGCAGTAAGTGAGGAAAAGGACATGTCTTACACACTATATCATAAACACCCAGCACCTGGTACTTAATACCTAGTACACAGGTAGGAGGGGGCTCCAGGTATTGCACACATGTTCCAGGCTCAGTATTGACTTCTTCACATGGGTTGGATAACCTATATCTCATAACAAACATTTCCCCATGATTTTATAGAGACTGAGGCACAGAGAGATTTACTGTCTTGTCCAAAATCATAGGACCAAAAGTAATCTGAAGCGAATCACTCTTGATCCCAAACCCTCTTGTTAAGCCTCTTGCCTATATGTTCTGCCTTTCTATGTTTGCTGAGTGAATGGCAATAGCAGAAACGGCTTTATTTCTTGATCATTTTCCAAGAGCTAGATATGTTACAGGTCTAATTCAATCAGGACTACAAGTATGCAAAATAAGTGGCATTGTCTCTATTTTACCTTGAAAACGAGGCTGAGAGAGGGAGAACTAGAAATTGTGAGTGTTAATATAATAATCCCTATAAATTTATTCTTTCCCCTTCAGCTTCTTTAAAAGACATAAAATTGTATAAATCACTAGTTAGAGCAACAGTATAATATGCTTCAGGATCGTATTACGAGAATGATAACACATATATATGCACAAAAAGGGAGAAGAGAGAATAAAGTTATGGAGTTATAGAAGTAACATTTCTGTGTCTTACTGGAATTAGTTTAGCATAATTTTGAGACGGAGAAGTTATATATACGGTTAGCCCTGGAGCAACCACTAAGAAAATAATAGATCTCAACGTTCTTTCACTTTAAGACTTTGGTAAAAGAAGAGCAAACTAAATCTAAAGCAAGCAGAAGGAAGAAAATAATAAAGATTTTTGTAAATGAGAGAAAAATCAAGGACACCAAAAGCTGATTCTTTGAAAAGACTAACAAAATTGACAAACTTTTAGCTCAACTGGTCAAGAAAAAAAAAGACAGAAGACTCAAATTAGGAATGAAATAGAGGACTTTACTGGTGACTTTACAGAAGTAAAAAAGATTGTAAGGCAATACTGTGGACAACGCATGCCAGCAAATTAGTTAGAAAAAATGCACAAATTCCTAGAAAGACACAAACTACCGAAACTGTCTCAAGAAGAAATAGCCCATCTGAATAGACTTATAACAAATAAAGAGATTTAATTACTAATCAAAAAACCACCATCAAGAAAGGCTCAGGCCCAAATGGCTTCACTGGTGAATTCTACGAAATATTTGAAGAAGAATTAATACCAATTCCTCCCAAACTTGGCAAAAAATAGAAGAGGAAATTTACCCCAATTCCCCAAAATTATCTTACCACATTTCCTTTTTTCTCTGTCTGAACTGTTTGAGAGTTAGTTAGAGACATATTTCGTCTTTACTCCTAAATAATCCAGTGGGTTTTTTCTAAAACAGCAATTATCTTACAGAACCACAAGGTATTGACGTAATGTTCTTAGGTTATACACTTTTTTTGGTAGCTGCTTTTGTGAAAAGCTGGAATTCTGCCCCTTCCCCTTGGAAGGGAACCTTGAATGTCTGAACAGACATTTTAGGACAGTCATTGCAAATGTAAAACGGACATGTAGGTGTAAGAAGTGAGTAGTTAATATCTTTTATCTATCTGCCTATCTACGTTATTGTGAAATGACAGAAGTTTGAGTCAAGACTTCTGGCATCCTGTGGTGTCATTCTTTAAGCTTTTAAGGTGAGGGATTTAAGTCATTCTGTTAGGACTACTTAGGTCCTGACCTTGAGGTAATAAACAATATTCAAATTTTAAAAACTGTTCACACGATTATGATATCTTCACTAGTCTATTCCAGAACTAAAATTTGCGTATGGTGTTCAGTTAGTAAATTATTTTCACCAGGACAGACAGTACTTATAAAATATGGTTTTCAAACTGGGTGAATATATCAAAACCCCTCAAAATATGTTGAAGAATCCACAGAGCATAAAAAGGCTTGAATTTATTTGAATTCCATGTAAACCAAATATAAAAGCAATTGCCAATGTCTTAAAGAAAATTCACTATTATTTTGAGTGAGTTGTTGCAAATATTACATTTTAAAATGAGGATTGCTCTGCTGGAGGTCATGATGAAAAGTGACATTCTTCAAATAATGGAAATTTCATGGGAATCATTGAACTACTTGCTGAATTTCATCCATTTATGCATGACTACTTGAAGAAATGCCAAAGTTGAAAAAAACAAGTATAGTACCTGAATCTAAAAGAGATTATGATGAATTAGTCAAAATAAAAGGAAAACATGTATAAAGTGAAGAGTTAGAGTCCAAAAACTACCCCATTATTGTAGGTTTTTCATGATTTTGAGAAATACTCATCAATTGGCGATTATTGTGTGCTTCAGTAATTTCAGAAAACCATGAAAACTTTTTCTTTTTCCCAAAGGAAATCATTTATCTGTGACATTGTTCAGCAAAATGAAACATGTTCCGGATGATTGTAACTTGCCATTGAATAACATTTGTAGGCATTAGTATGACTACATCATGTGACAACGTAGCTATTATAAAAAGTAAAAACAAAGGGCTTCATGCACTCTTTAAAAAATATTAATAAATAAGTCAAATGTGCTATGTGGAGCTCACTCCCTTTCTCATCAGAGAATAAGCTGAGCTTCTAGTACCTGAAGTTATTGAATCCTTAAGTATCTTTCCAGTTATGTTTTCTCCTTGGGTTAGTCTTGTCTTGTAGAAGGAGTGTTTTAAGCACACAGCTCAACTTTTTAAAAATAGCATGAGTGGGATGCCCACTTTTGGCTCTGACAAGGAAAATCTAGAATGGGTGGTGGAGGAGGGAGTTGATGGACATCAATTATAGCCTGTGACAAGTTGCAGGAGCAAAGTCTATGGCATGTACCACTAGCTCATGTATATTAAGTCGTTTATACAATTGCAGATGGTCACCAACTTGAAGATATGGTGATGGATTGAGTTTAATGAAGGGCACAGTGATCCGAGAGGTGCAAGGGGTGAACCATTTTAGATGCATCTGGAGCACTGACTGGAATCCTCTCAGTCTCACCTCTGATCCCAGCTGTGGCTGCAGTGGGCAGTTCAAAGAAGGCCTAACTTATCTCAGGTGGGTAGCATCTTGCTTTATTAGGATGTGTAAAACCCACATCCTCACAAGAGATTACAGGGGTTATGAGATTGCAGTTTCCCGCTCAGTAACTTCCCTCTCTTGGCCTTTCTCGGACATGCTGGCCATGATCTTCGCCTAGGGCCTTTGCACTTGGTGTTTCTTCTGTGACTTATGCTGGTTCCCTAGATATCTAAGTGACCTACTCCCTTACAGCTTTAGGTGTTGCTGAAATGTCAGTTCATTGATGCTATTTTTGACCCCCTGTATAAAACTGGCGTACTCCAAATTGTCAGTACTTCAAACAGTGCCTGACCCATAAGGCTTTAATAAGTGTATGTTGATTGAATGAATCCAAGTTGTGGAAGTGAACATGTTGGTTAAAGATTATGCTCTTCTTTATTTTTATTTTTCTTCTGAGGAACATTTGCCCTGACCTAACATCTGTTGCCAATCTTCCACTTTTTTGCTTGAGGAAGATTAGCCCTGGGCTCACATCTATTGCCGATATTCCTCTACGTTATATGTGAGTAGCTGCCACAACATGGCTGCTGACAAGTGGTGTAGGTCCATGCCTGGGAACCTAACTCGGGATGCTGAAGTGGAGAGTGCCAAACTTAACCACTAGGCTATTGGGCCAGCCCCAAGGTTATGCTCTTTTTAAAAACTTTTGAGACATGTGAAATTTGCCTCTAGAAATATTTGCAGTCCCCCCCAACTTCTCCAAGTGTCTGTAAAAGCATCTGTCCTTTCACATCCTCCCAAATAGATGGAATCATGCTTTTTAGTCTTAGCTAAACTGAGAGGTAGAAAATGACATGCTGTTTTACTAGACAATTTTTCATGACTAGTGAAAAAAGCCATATAATTATATAATTATTTTTACCACATTTTCTTCTCATAGTTTGTAGGCTTTTTTGAGGCATTGAAGCCTGGGTTAGTGTTATAATAAGTAAAATGCACTTGCCTACTGTATGGCAGGCATTGTACTAAATTCTTTATAGGTGTTATTAATTAAACATAATTTTGCTTCTGATCTAGTTATTATTATTTTCATTTTACAGACCAGTAACTACAGTTTAAAGATGTTTAATGGCTTTTTCACAGCAGTTCACTGGACCGCAAGGCCTTGACAGTTAGTTGATTTGGAATTTACTCAAATGATGTGTCAGTTTAAAAGAAGAAGGTCAAATTTAGGTTCATCTATGGCTCTGTCCTGTATTTGCAAAAGTAGACTGAAATACTCTGGTACTGTATGTCCCTCCCTTTATCCTCACTAACTATGATGCCTGATTAGTTCTTTTATAAATGAAATGTCTGGGGCTGGCCCGGTGGCACAGCGGTTAAGTATGCACATTCTGCTTTGGTGGCCCGGGGTTCACTGGTTCAGATCCTGGGTGCGGACACGGCACAGCTTGGCAATCCATGCTGTGACAGGGGTCCCACATATAAAGTAGAGGAAGATGGGCATGGATGTTAGCTCAGGGCCGTGTGTTCAGTGGTTTTACTGAACACACGCCAGTTGAAAG